AAGTTGAAGCTGTCATTGTGGGAGACGCAACTTGCCGGTGGTGATGCAGCTCACTTCCCCTGTCTGAAAAATGTGTGCGCGACCCAACATGTGGCAGACATGAAGCGGTTCAAAGATAAAATAACGGGACTGTTACGGGAGTTTGAGCAACGCTTTCAGATTTATGTTTATATGTTTTTATGTTGATGTGCTATTGTTTTTAATTGATTTTATTTTATTTGTATATTTAACCTATTCTTGACTCTGTGGTTCTTGCACTTGTTTGGGGAACAGGATTTCATTATTTTTATCTACATTTCTGCCTGAGAAATGACACCCTGATATAGTTCTGTGATCTGTGGTATACTTCTGTGAATCACTGAGGCATTGTGTGTTTGTGTGTTCTTTGTCCTCAGAACTTTCAAATAACTTGAGGTGTTTTATGATTAATAGTGATGTTGTGCTTTTGGACACTGTCCTCAGGCTCCAGCTTTATGTTTATATGTTTTTATGTTGATGTGCTATTGTTTTTAATTGATTTTATTTTATTTGTATATTTAACCTATTCTTGACTCTGTGGTTCTTGCACTTGTTTGGGGAACAGGATTTCATTATTTTTATCTACATTTCTGCCTGAGAAATGACACCCTGATATAGTTCTGTGATCTGTGAAACAGTTCTGTTAATCACTGAGGCATTGTGTGTTTGTGTGTTCTTTTTCTTTAGAATTTTCAAATAAACTTGACGTGTTTTATGATTAATAGTGATATTGTGCTTGTACTATTTTGGACACACTGTCCTCAGGCTCCAGCTTTATGTTGTATGTTGATCGTATTAAAACAAAGAAAACAATCTGAAGTTGTTGTTTTTAAGTTATATATACCATGATTTTTCCGGTCCGGCCCACTTGGGAATAGATTTTCCTCCATGTGGCCCCTGAGCTAAAATGAGTTTGACACCCCTGCTCTAGATACTTATGAAAGAAAGAAAGAAAGAAAGAAAGAAAGAAAGAAAGAAAGAAAGAAAGAAAGAAAGAAAGAAAGAAAGAAAGAAAGAAAGAGAGAAAGAAAGAAAGAAAGAAAGAAAGAAAGAAAGATAGAAAGAAAGAAAGAAAGAAAGAAAGAAAGAAAGAAAGAAGATAGTATCTTCAGCAGGCCAGGAACAAAAAAAGAGAAAGAGACAATGAATCTAAGACCCTTTTATAACATCTGAAGGTGTTTCTTTCAACCGAAAACCAACCACCATTGACCAATCAAATTATACCAAGTTTACAGTAACCTGACCCAGGCCCAATCTCCACAGGGTGTCACAGCATCTAAAGGCTTGTGTGGGGGATGAGACCAATGTAAATAAGACAGAATTCTTGAGAGGTCCACAAAAACCTTTGCATAGAGTAATTTAGAGTTGACCCTGTACAGAGATACACGTTACCTCAGAGATCATACATATAGATACTGTAGCTTCAGAGCCCTCTTTAGGGGAGAAGTTTCAGATAGATACCAGACATGGATACTATAGTATTATTCTATCACACATTCAATAGTCAGTCCTATGGATACTGTAACAGTGAGATACATTTTGGCCCCTCAGAGGGGGAAGGGCTGACTAGTCCTTGAGTATTGTCCTTTGTGCTTTCCTTGTGTTCCTGGACCATTTGCCATGCAGTTCCAGGTAACAGAGAGCATATAAATTAAGGCAGAGCCTACAATGCAACTTATTATGTGACTTGTTAAGCATATTTTTACTCCTGAACTTATTTAGGCTTGCCGTAACAAAGGGGTTGAATACTTATTGACTCAAGACATTTCAGGTTTTCATTTTTAATTAATTTGAATTGTTTAAAAAAACATAATTCCACTTTGACATTATGGGGTATTGTGTGTTGGCCAGTGACACAAAAATCTATATTTAATCAATGTTAAATTCAGGCTGTAACACAACAAAATGTGGAAAAGGTCACATGGTGTGAATGCTTTCTGAAGGCACTGAGCTCTTGTAATGGTATCATGCAATGTAAAGGAAAAAAATAATTTCATGACTTACTGACAATGAGTGCTCCATGTTCCTGCTGGTAGCAAGCCTCAACCTGGACGCAGATAACATCCAAAGACAAATAATAAGTAAAAGGCTTTACGTCTTAGTCACATCACTGAGTATGTCAGGATACTGCATGGCTGTTTACCATTCATTCAGGCCATCAGCTTAGCCTGGTGATGGAGTGAGAGTGGGTCTGATTGGACAGGAGTGTACTAAGCAGTGGAGGCTCATAATAATGCTCATAATAATGGCCGGAACGGAGCAAATGGAATGGCATCAAACACATGGAAACCATGTTTTTGATGTATTTGATATCATTCCACTGTTTCCAGGTCCAGTCATTACTACAAGTCTGTTCTCCCCAATTAAGGTTCCTCCAACCTCCTGTGGTACTCAGTCAGCTGAGGTGTTGCACACAAGCTAACAGTAAGGCGTTTGGCATGCAGACAGTTGTTTGCCTCAGAACCCAGATTAATGAATGGACACATAAGTATACGGATCAGCTCTTATCATCTTCATCATTTAGCCAGAGATGGAGGGGCTTAGCGCCGTTAACGGTGAGTGAAAAGAAGACTGAACACAACTAGTCTGCTGTATGGAGTCTAGAAATGAAATTATCAGAGCAGAACCACTGACCCTTAACGGATCAATGTGTGTGCAGGTGTTGGTGAGTCCATCCTTTAATACTAGTTTATTTCCTTCTAGCCCTTCAGTGTTACTCATTCTGTTCATCAGTTGTGTTTATGCTATGTAGCATGAGCAAGATCAGCCATGTACTGATCTTTAACACATCATTGTTAGTACAGTAATGTCAACACTGGGTATCAATCTGGTAACTAATTATCGTCCCAATGGGTGTTCTCCTTTCCTGGAATATTGACTAAAGATGTTTACCAGTAAGACTAATCAGCGTCCTGCTGACCTTTTATATTTACATGTGTTTTTCAACTTTTAGGCAATCCCATTACCTTTCAAAGTGGACTTTATTTACCAGTGTCAATGATAACTGTATGTGTGCCATGCGACCGGTTGATACGCTGGTGAGAACAGTTTGAGAGACATGATTTGTCATATAGTGCCCTCCTGTGTTCATCCCCCAAAAAATTCAGAAAAACCTTCAGGTGTTTCAAGCCTGGTAGTGCTGAGCGATTAATCGAAATGTCAGTTATTTAACGTTTTTTTTATCAACGGAGTTCTGGTTCCATTATGTAAATTCCATTTTGTTCTGGGTTTTTTTCTGTGAGCTCAATGCACACATTGCACAGTTTCTCTAAAGATAAATCAGATCCAGCCTGAACTGTGTGATGTAGTAGGGAGTTGTAGTTTCCAACAGGCCAATATTCTACATAGTTTTGTGTAAACAACGTGGTAATTAACTACAATGACCATAATCAATTGGTCCGGTCTGTGTTTCTTTTATGCCTACTAAGGAAAAGACAGAAGAATGCACGATCATGAGGAGATATAGAAAGCAGTTGTTGCTCCGGGAGGTATCTCTACCTGAAAATAAATGATCTAAGTGATTAATAGTTGGTATTCAGCAGTCATGAAAGTATGCCTTATTTACTTTGAAGAACTACAAAATAGGGATTTTGTCAGACAGCACATGCAGCAGCTCTATAGAGATGAGTGATGACTTGGAATTAAATAATAGTCATCAAATAAAATATACATATAATATATACAACAACTGAAATATTTTATTAAAGTAATGTGAATAAATTATTGTTAAGTGATAAGCATTAATTGGCAGTCACTACCATCATGGGACTTTTATTAATTGTTTTATTCTGTGTTACAGCATTAAACCCAAATAATCGAAACTGAAATAAAATATGTGATTCTTTTTTTATAATCAAACCAAAACCGAACCGACCTCAAAAAGCACTAATCACTCAGCACTAAAGCCTGGTTAACTGTATGAAGAATAGTTTTTGTAGGAGAGTAGGTAGAGTGGAAAATGAAAGAAATGGGTGGAGAAATGGTCTTTAGCTGCTGTGAGAAGTTTGATGTGCTGCTTTTCGTGAAAGTCCTGAACCCTGCCTTTTATTGAATTCAGAGGCAATTCATCTTCCATGATGTCATAACGCCCGGTTGGAGTAGATAAACATGAGAGTGAAAGACCAAAGATGCATGTCAAATAACAGAGGCACACAATTCTTGTTTTTTTGGACATTCACTCTCATGTTTATCTACTCCAACCGGAGTAGATAAACATGAGAGTGAATGTTGGACATTTACTTTTTGACAGTAACTGGAAGTTGGAGACAAAGAGTAGATATTTTAATTAACGTGTGTAAAAATGTGGAACAAAGAATAGTGAGTAAGGGCTTTTTGACAGACAATGGAGTTAGTACACAGCCACATACAGCCAGTGCAGAGACCATGTGATATGGGTTAGGAACATCATGAAACTCACAGTGACAGGTCCTCAGAGTTAGGAAATGACTGGCAGGACATGATAAGTGTTTGTTCAGTCATAGGAACTAACTGTCCTATTTTTAACCATTGTCTCACGTCAGATGGCGTCAATGCTCCGCGACGCTCGTCCCTCAACCGGTGCAGGCTAAATCGACGCGCTATCTGATGTAAGACAATGATTTTTGACAGACAGCTGGATTGAAAAGCAAAAAGGGCACACCAGAAACCATTACAGAACTTTACACCTTTCTACACAGAGATCATTGCACCCTTCTTCACAGCCTGCCTGTGATAAATATATCTAAAGGTGAAAGTGCCCCATCATGTTGAAAAGCAAGCGAGGGAGCATTTGATCTATATGAAGAGGAAATTCATAATCATTCAACATAAATACAATAAGAAACCTAAAACTCTTGAAATAACCGTAAAAGCAGAGTTTTGGATCAGTCGGATCAGATCGGTTCGGATTCCTTCTGGCTCTGAAACAATGTTTTGTACATGTCTGTCCATATTCCATATCCCTTAATTTGAGGTGTTCAGAGTAGCTATGTGGCCTGTTGTGATTATTTTCCAGTTTTTGACACGGTGTGGATGGCATTGATCCACTCCTTCCTCTCCTCAGCTGTAGCCGCTTGGAGGAAATAGTGTGTCTCGTCGGAAGTGATGATCTCAAAGAGATTCCCATCAACGTCATACCTCTTGGCTGAGCCGAAAAAAGATTAAGAAAAACATTTTGAAGAATAAGTTAGAAGGGAATTACACTTCATAGTCCTAGTCACACTGAGCCAGCGTGGGATTTGGTTCAGTGTATGTGTCCCGCAGTAATAAACTCACCATCAGGAACAAACTCCACCGCTGTGATCACAGACCCTCGCAGTTGGATAGAGCCCAGAGGGTACTCATCACCCTACAGAGAGAGCGAGGGTGGGGAAGGGAGAGAAATAAGGATTGAGGGGGAATAAAGAGAGAAAAGAGCAGATTAGCGAGAGACAAAGACAGGAGGGAGATAAATTATAGACATTAGAAAAGAGCGAGATAAAGATAAATATGTTTTTCATGTTATGTTCTTGAAAAATAATTTTGTGTGAGGTTCCACTCTCTAATCCTGTACCTTGGTGGGGTCGTAATAGTGAATATAAGCAGGATCGTTCCGGAGGATGAATTTCCGCACCTTCCAGTTTTTCCTCCGATGTCCCTGGGGTGAAAAAAAGAGAGCATGACGGGCTGACTGCTCTTCTGTTTCTGATCACTATCAGTCGTGAAAACAGCACCGACCACAGACATAGTGCTGTGGTGAATTTCACTTCCTCCTTCATCGCAAAGGTCATATTTATAGAACGCCTACAGCCCTCTCAATTTCCACCACTTCTTCTGTGGGGACAGCCGATGAAGCACCTTTTTTTTCGTGAAAGAGAACTTATCTGTAATTCTGAAAATGAAAGTGATGCTTACTGACAATAATATGTTGTCATCCATTTAATTAACTTAAGTATGTAATACAGCATCATTCAGAACATCCCAAAATACCTGATCCGGTAATAATCACATTAGTTCATCACCTAGATATTCAATGAGTATTTACAGTGTTGCCAGTCTTACCTGTTTGAGTAAGCAGCCCTGTTTTATGATGTTACCCCTGAACTCCTCCTTCACAATCACGTCTTCATCACTGGAGTAGCCTTCACAGAAGAACCCACTGTCTGCCTGCAACACACCATACAAGGTAAGAAAACATTAGGATACAGTATTATCTCATCTCATCATCTCATCCTCACTTAGAATACATTATAGCTTTTACGTACGTACGTTTATAAAGACAGAAATGTTAAAACATCGCCTAGTCTGTGTGGTCTTCTAGCAATGACCACCAGATCTCCAGATCTTCTAGCAAATATGGAAGATTATATAGACACTAGCAGCTACATGAATAACAAAAACAATCAATCCATTCACTCACAAAGTAGTAGAGTGCATCTGGCTCATCGACGAAGGTGGACATTGCCCCTCCCTCGAGCCCCTCTTTGGACACGTCCCCTGCGGGCTGTAGGAACCCTTCGTTCAGGAGTCCTGTAGCCAACATCAGAGCCTCAGGCCTGTTCCTGGCCTTGTCCTTAGAGATCAGCCAGTCCACCACCGTACTACCTGCATGAAGAAGAGAATCAAAGCTGGTATGATCTATCGCAATGTGACTCAGTGAGTGAGACTCAAGACTCTCTTGAGTCTGACCTGGATAAATACAAGTTATGTGCTGCTGTACCTGTGAAGCAGTGATTGTAGACTCTCTTCTCGTTTTCCAGCTTCTGCTCTTTGACCCCATCCTCCTGGTCTCTCATTAGAATGTACAGCTCACTGAGAAAAGGCAGACAACAAAGCAGACAATACTTAGAAAGTTATCAAATGAATGATGGCTATAGTTACGAAGACATGAATGTAGCCCCATTCTCATCAACGGGGCTGTAGTGGAACAGGTTGAGAGCTTCAAGTTCCTTGGTGTCCACATCACCAATGAACTATCATGGTCCAAACACACCAAGACAGTCGTGAAGAGGGCACGACAAAGCCTATTCCCCCTCAGGAGACTGAAAAGATTCGGCATGGGTCCTCAGATCCTCAAAAAATTCTACAGCTGCACCATCGAGAGCATCCTGACTGGTTGCATCACCGCCTGGTATGGCAACTGCTTGGCCTCCGACCGTAAGGCACTACAGAGGGTAGTGCGTACGGACCTCTATACCAGGCGGTGTCAGAGGAAGGCCCTCAAAATTGTCAAAGACTTCAGCCACCCTACTCATAGACTGTTACCGCACAGCAAGCGGTTCCGGAGTGCCAAGTCTAGGTCCAAAAGACTTCTCAACAGCTTCTACCCCCAAGCAATAAGACTCATAAACAGCTAATCATGGCTACCCGGGCTATTTGCACTGCCCCCCCCCCCCCCCCCCCACCCCCATCATTTTACGCTGCTGCTACTCTGTTAATTATTTATGCATAGTCACTTTAAGTCTACCCACATGTACATATTACTTCAACTACCTCAACTAGCCGGTGCCCCCGCATATTGACTCTGCACCGGTACCCCACTGCATATATAGCCTCCCTACTGTTTATTTTATTTTACTTCTGCTCTTTTTTTCTCAACACTTTTTTGTTTTCTTCTACTTTTTCTATTAAAAATAAATGCACTGTTGGTTAAGGGCTGTAAGTAAGCATTTCACTGTAATGTCTGCACCTGCTGTATTCGGCGCATGTGGCCAAAAATTTGATTTGATTTGTAAGCGTATCGTGGATCATAGGTGGTAAGTAAGACAGGTCAGAGGTCCTACCTGAGGTTGACGGTATCAGGGAGGCGAATGGACCTCCGTATCGACTTCCTGGCAAACGTTTTGCCCCCCTGCAGACAGTTGATGGCCCTCTTGATGTCCTTCACCCAGGACTCTCTCTCCTCCAGGTGGGTGGCCTGGAAGAAATGGTCCTGGTTCTTGGCCGTGCTGAGCTTAAAAACCAACTGCAAGAAAATGGCAATGTTATATTACATGTTTGATGTTTTTTTTAAATGTTTTTTTATTTTTTACCTTTATTGAACTTCTGCCTGTATTGGGGGGGTGAATGTTTTTCAATGTACTTTAATTTCATTTTGTATGTTGCCAAAATTGTGAGGTCAGGTGGAGCACTACAGTAATGATAGACACTTGTACTCGTATTTAGTAGTGTCCGTACCGTCCTCTTGCTGAAGTCCTGACAGGGACTGGTCAGAACAGCTCCCTTCAGTGGGATCATTCCTTTGGGAGCACTGTCTGTCTTTCTCTTGAAGAACTCCACCCCATCATCAGACAACACCACCCACACCACCTTCCACGAGTTCAACACTGTGCCCTGAACAATACAGAAGGGAATGTACATGTTGATAGAATCAATCAATCAGTCCTTATACCAAAGGTATTCCACAACTGCTCAGTTCTGTTACTACAATACAAATACAATGTAATTAGAAACATGTTAGAGTAGATGACATTGTAATTAAACAGGTATAATAGAAACATCATGTGAAGTGTTACCAAATTGACTTTCTTCCAAATTGACTTGCCTGGATAAGCATAAAATGTATATAATTTACACAATGTATTTATCGAATATTGAGGGATAGGATGAGGGAATACATAAAACACATATTAATCTCAGCATTTGAATGCAACAGCCTCTAGCAGTGTTTTGTTTTTAATCCTAACCTCCCCTACTCTATAAATGCAAATTTAGCAGCTGCTGAACATGACTTTTTTTTTCATAGAAAATGCTGTTCAGCAAACAGATTTATGGGAAGTGAGTGGGAATTTTAAAGTATTGCACAATCAATCCTCACAAAGAGGGATGTTACTTGAGAACAAATCTTAAGAAAGGAAATACAGACCATACATAAAATATTCATAGGTAATCATAAATCCAATACTTAGTTTTATGTGAAATGGTCTTGTTTCACTTCACTTTCTTGATTGTTGTTGTTCACCATAGAGAGCTATGATACAAAGCTATCACAGGCACTACCTATAGTTCTACGAATATGTTCCAATGATACTGAACAACTGATAAAGATTGGAATGCATAAGAATAGCATAGGCAAACGTTTATATGCGAAGAACAGTACAGTATGTGACATGATAAAAATCATGTTCTATTCATTTTTCTTTTGTAAAGATTACAAACAATACAAAACAGACGCTCACAAACATCCACAACATCACCCCTGCCCAGACCCACCTGCTCACACCCCCATCTCCAGCGCCCGCTACATGGCCTCAAACTGCACCATTTTGTTTCTCTCCATCGCCAACACACTTTCAACATTTACAGTGGGGAAAAAATGAATTTAGTCAGCCACCAATTGTGCAAGTTCTCCCACTTAAAAAGATGAGAGAGGCCTGTATTTTCATCATAGGTACACGTCAACTATGACAGACAAAATGAGAAAAAAAATCCAGAAAATCACATTGTAGGATTTTTAATGAATTTATTTGCAAATTATGGTGGAAAATAAGTATTTGGTCAATAACAAAAGTTTCTCAATACTTTGTATATACCCTTTGTTGGCAATGACACAGGTCAAACGTTTTCTGTAAGTCTTCACAAGGTTTTCACACACTGTTGCTGGTATTTTGGCCCATTCCTCCATGCAGATCTCCTCTAGAACAGTGATGTTTTGGGGCTGTCGCTGGGCAACACGGACTTTGAAATGGACCTTGAAATGCCACTCCAGGACCTTGAAATGCTTCTTACGAAGCCACTCCTTCGTTGCCCGGGCGGTGTGTTTGGGATCATTGTCATGCTGAAAGACCCAGCCACGTTTCATCTTCAATGCCCTTGCTGATGGAAGGAGGTTTTCACTCAAAATCTCACGATACATGGCCCCATTCATTCTTTCCTTTACATGGATCAGTCGTCCTGGTCCCTTTGCAGAAAAACAGCCCCAAAGCATGATGTTTCCACCCCCATGCTTCACAGTAGGTATGGTGTTCTTTGGATGCAACTCAGCATTCTTTGTCCTCCAAACACGACGAGTTGAGTTTTTACCAAAAAGTTATATTTTGGTTTCATCTGATCATATGACATTCTCCCAATCCTCTTCTGGATCATCCAAATGCACTCTAGCAAACTTCAGACGGGGCTGGACATGTACTGGCTTAAGCAGGGGGACACGTCTGGCACTGCAGGATTTGAGTCCCTGACGGCGTAGTGTGTTACTGATGGTAGGCTTTGTTACTTTGGTCCCAGCTCTCTGCAGGTCATTCACTAGGTCCCCCGTGTGGTTCTGGGATTTTTGCTCACCGTTCTTGTGATCATTTTGACCCCACGGGGTGAGATCTTGCGTGGAGCCCCAGATCGAGGGAGATTATCAGTGGTCTTGTATGTCTTCCATTTCCTAATAATTGCTCCCACAGTTGATTTCTTCAAACCAAGCTGCTTACCTATTGCAGATTCAGTCTTCCCAGCCTGGTGCAGGTCTACAATTTTGTTTCTGGTGTCCTTTGACAGCTCTTTGGTCTTGGCCATAGTGGAGTTTGGAGTGTGACTGTTTGAGGTTGTGGACAGGTGTCTTTTATACTGATAACAAGTTCAAACAGGTGCCATTAATACAGGTAACGAGTGGAGGACAGAGGAGCCTCTTAAAGAAGAAGTTACAGGTCTGTGAGAGCCAGAAATCTTGCTTGTTTGTAGGTGACCAAATACTTATTTTCCACCATAATTTGCAAATAAATTCATTAAAAATCCTACAATGTGATTTTCTGGATTTTTTTCTCCTCAATTTGTCTGTCATAGTTGACATGTACCTATGATGAAAATTACAGGCCTCTCTCATCTTTTTAAGTGGGAGAACTTGCACAATTGGTGGCTGACTAAATACTTTTTTCCCCACTGTAGATAATAAAGCATTTGACCATTCCATTGTGTTAACAATGGAGGATTTGTTGATTTCCAGTTTTTAAGTATACGGTTTTCTAGATAATTGGTGAGAAATGTATCGTTCAACCCATCGGGTATCTCACTGCACCCTCATATGCCATGTCATTTAAATATGCAGACAGATGGATTAAAAAAAGCCAACTTTCTAACTCCGCCCATAGCATTCCCAGAAGGCATGGATTATTGAGTCATTGTTAGTTTTACACTTAAGACATGACTCTGCCATTGTGCTGTAGAATTTGTGAATTGTGTCTCTTGTGTAATAAATTCTATACATTTGTTTATACTGGATTAAGCATGTACATTTTAGTTAACTGTCATTTTGTTAGTTATGTTCCAACATTCCCTCCATCTTGTGCCAATATCAGTTATTTTTAAGTCTTGGTTCCAATAGTTTCAGTTGGATAGGCTCTCTGCAAGATTTTGTATATCTTACATATCATATGAATATCCTTTTCTGACTCAAATAGGATTCCCTCAAGATTTCTCTGATGTCCAAAAGATTTCAAATCGAAATTTCTTGATATAAAAATTTGAAGTTGCATGTATTTGAAAATATCTACAGTGGTCAGTCCAAAATTGCGTTTTAATTCTGTCATGGAAATACGTGTATTTCCTGTTACCAAGTCATTTACGGTTTCTATGCCTTTAGTCTTCCATGTGGACCAATTTATCTGTGAATTCTGAAAAGCTATCCAAGGATTGTTCATTATGGTAATGTTTTTAGGGAGTGATATTGATTCTTGTATAATACATTTCATTTTCTTCCATATTGTTATAGTGTTCTTAACTATGAAGTTGTTCATGTTCTAAGCTTTATCCTTTGAAAATTGACACGTGAAAGGATTCTGGGAATGAGCATGCGCATCTTCAATATGTACCCATTGTTCCTCCACACTGGGTGGAGAGTTGATACAATTCCAAGTCTGGAAGGTTAAAAAGTACCCTCAGATTTAGGAAGATGTAAAACGTTCCTTTTTATTCTATGAGTTTAATTTGCCCAAATAAAGTCTGTTATGACCGAGTATACTTTTTTAAAGAATCTCTTCGGTGAGGTCAGGTAGCTTAGTGGTTAAGAGCGTTGTGCCAGTAACTGAAAGGTCGCTGGTTCTAATCCCCGAGCCGACTAGGTGAAATCTGTCGATGTGCCCTTGAGCAAGGCACTTAACCCTAATTGCTCCTGTAAGTCGCTCTGGATAAGAGCGTCTGCTAAATGACTAAAATGTCATTGGTATTGAGGAGAATAAATATAAAAACTTTGGGAGCCATGCAGTTCTGAAGAGGTTTATTCTACCTGTAAGATTTATGGGAAGATTATTCCATCATCTTCTATTAAGTTAGATTTTGATTAATCCAGTGAGGTCATGGGTTATCCGTCATCATCTGACCCCAGACTAAGAGTCAGTCCATTTTGACGAGACCCATCATCTGTGTTAGTCATTTGTCAGGCCATGAGAAATACGAAGTATTATTATTTTTTAGCTAATGTGGTTTGTGGGGGAAACAGTTTTGTTGCTATCTGCATTCAGTTTCTAAACATCTAAAGCGATCAAGTCTCAGGCCAAATGGAAATAGTCATAGAACTACTACACTAACCTTCCATTTCATTTAAAGCACTTGACTGACAGCTGAAGTTGGACATGTAAATGGTCAAACATATTGCCCGCTGACTTGATGTTTCTAACTCTTGTCATCGTCTCCATCGATGGATCTTGTTCCTAACCTTCTCAAATGTGAGATAATCTATTGTCTAGTAACTAAGCTGTCCAGCAAATCTACAGTATTAAAGTCTGGCCCAAGGTAAACACAAAGACCTACACTAATCAAGGTTATTTGACAGGAACATATTTTCCTCTATCACCCTTACCTTTTTGACCAGATATCCCTCTTTGATCTGTTTTGGATCCATAACCTCTAGCTTCTGGTGTCTGTGTCTGAGTAACTGATGCAGACACAAGAGGAACACTCACCCCCCTCACATATGACCTACTTTGTTGTGTGCTGATAGAGATAGTGGAAGTTGAATGGGGTGTGTCACAATGCTGGCGCCTTTCATGGCTTCCTCTTCCTGCTCAGTGGTAGTAAAAGAGGATGGCCACAGTCGCTCATTCTCTTGGTCAAAGAGAGAACGCCTGTGTAACTGTTTGATATCAAACCTTGGTTGTCAGTGCTTTGCATTTCAGTGTCAAGCGTGCATACCACTAGAACAAAAAACTATAGCTTGCAGAATGTGGGCACTGGTTACTCATGATGACGCAATTCAACGACTTAGCGCAAACCACTTGACCACCTCCTCCTTTCAACCACAAGCATTTGAGTCACCTACTTCAAAAGCTTTTTCCATTCAGCTGTAGAAAAAGATAGACACAATTATGCAAGATAAGTCTAAGTCTGTCATGGCTTGACTGAAGTCACTCACTACAAACTGTCACGATCGTCGGATACAGAGGACCAAGGCGCAGCATGGAAGGTGAACATATTTATTAAATAATGATTACACGAACAAAAACAACAAATCGATACGTGACATCCAAAGGTGCAAAACACAAACCTACACAGGAACAAGATCCCACAAACACTGTGGGAAAACTGGCTGCTTAAGTATGGTTCCCAATCAGAGACAACAAGCAACAGCTGATACACGTTGCCTCTGATTGAGAACCACACTGGCCAACATAGAAATACTAAACTAGACCGAAAACAAATGAAAACTCACACCCTGGCTCAACATACTAGAGTCCCCAGAGCCAGGGCGTGACACAAACTCAGTTTCGCAACAACAGAAACTGTTCAGACAACCCATTCTCATGGTATGGTGGACCGGGAGTTAGACACCAACTTAAATACACAAGTTAATTATCAGGGTAAACTCAAGTATGGATTTTATTTTCATATCGGTGTGTAGGCTAATTAATATATAATAGCCATATTGGGCCATTTGAAACAATGGCACTCCTCTGACTAATAATGTTAGGCCTATCATGCCATTCTTTCTGCTTCTATGCTTTTCAGAGTTGTGTCGTTATCTTGGCAGGATGTGGGTTCACTTTACCCTTACCACAGTTTATCGAGTGCTGCCTCTATGCCTGGGGTCTCAGTTGAATTTACCTGCTGAAAATTCTTCCTACAGAAGTCTACACAGAACTTGTAATAACTTACATTTAACCACAGGACTAGACAAGGGTATTTGCTATCTCCAAAATTGGTTGCTTTTCCTTTAAAATTTTTACTAATATCTGAGGGAAGTACATTCATCTATCAGAGTTCCAGTAAGCCTTTGGTCAACTAAAGGGTGGTATGGTAAAATTCCCTCTAGAGGACGCAACATACACATAAACAAGGCAGGTTTACATTTATTGTCATGAATCTTGGCCTGGAGGCAGAACTGAGCCATTGATGGGCAAGCTGCTGGTGAAAAGAGGGAGGAGTGATGACAAATAAAAATGTGTTGAAATCATTCACACAATACAATACATGACGCAAACTACTAATATATAATGACAAAATAGAGAAAGTAGTACGCTACTCCAAAAATATACTTTAACCTACACAGTTGTTCCAATAAACTGCTGCTCTGTTTATAAGTCACCTTGTGATTACCATCCTTACTTTATAAGCCTGAAGGACTCAGATCCCTGGAACATCCTCTGTGAAGTTCGTAATAGAGGCCAAGGAACAAAGGATATACTGTACATTCTGTGGGCTTAAATCACTCTTTACTTTAAATAAACATCAGGTGGGGTGATGTTGATGAGTTTATTGATGAATCTAGGGTGATTGAGTTTCATTAAGTGCCACCCTGAAACGCATCTCTCAGACGCAGTGATTGGAAAACGGCCCTGGTCCCTGGCAATGGAATATTCATTCACTGGCAAACAAAGCAGGGGCATATTGAGGACATTCAGTTCTATTTAGAAAGTTGGTTGTGAGCACTGAACGCTGTACACAATGCTTGTGGGTATGTTTATGTTTTTGGAGTTTGTGGAAGGAGTTCTTGGTGGTGTGGTTCTGTAGTGCCCTTCGAAGACAATGCCATTATGGTGGGATTTAAAAATAAGACAAGTCAATTTATTTATTTTTTGTCCTGGTTTTGTACCTTTCCTTGTAAAGACACACTGCATTGGTGCTTGTGTTGTGTTCCCTCTCCCACTGGTGAAGTCCCAAAAGTTGATAGTTCTAGCGACTCAATATAACATGCTTGGTAAGAGAGGTGAAGCTGACCCATTTTATTCTTAGCCTATCTTCTCCTTACCCTTCTCTTTTCCCCATCAATTTCCCTTCAATTTTGGCTGAAGCAGATGGACAGAAGCATGAGCTGTGAAGTGGAGATATAGCATGTTGTGCATGCAGCACATCCTGTGGTAGTGTAGGATTAGAGAAGTGAGTCAAGTTGTCACGCTGGTGCAGGGGCGATGTGTTCAACTGAGAGAAATGTGAGGTAAACATGATGAAACCCCCTCCTTTTTTTCTTCTTCTTCTCCTCCACACCTCCTTTGGAGTTGAGTGCTCATGAACTTCTATTCTTCAAATTTCAATCAAACCCACAGTTGTTTGAAGCTACATGATGGATGTGTTTTCTAAAGAGTGAAGTGTGTCAGGGATCCAGTATGTGAACGGTCATGCCATTTTAAGCTTGATTGATCCAAAAGTGTTCCAACTGTGTTCATACAGTTACAAACGTATCAACTGATTTCTGCACAAGATGATGCATTGTGCTCTCGATGTGAAGTCTTGCCCACCAGTCGGTCAATAAGAGCTTGAAATGTTGGCACTTACGTCAACATGACGTACTTTGGGAAAGCAATCAAATACTGCATTGGCTGTCGATAACATTCTCATCAAAATGTGTTCATATTTTTGCAATTCAAGTCATGCATGGATCAGATATTGATTCCATTAAAATAACAGGCCTGTGATCAGCCCTGTGGATACAAAGGTAGTGCACCACATGTCGCCGGGCACTTTCTTAGCAGATTTGTCAGAACAAGAAAAGTCTAGAACCAGGAGACTATCAATTATTTTTTCCTCGCTACAGCCAAAGCAAGGTATTACCTTCTCAGGTCACCTCCTTCAATTCCAATAATTTATAATTTTGCACAAAAATATAATCAATTCAGGAACCCATGTTATCTAGCTAGTCCCTTTCTGTTGACTAGTCACTATATAATCCTGTTTTGCTCTAAGATCAATGTTTAGATGCAGCAATAGGTTTTTGACATCTTCTTTCCTGTGTGTGAGCCCCCTGGGAAACATCAATAATTGTGCAGAAGAGTGCACTAGACTTAGCTGAAGGGGTAACTGATGATGGCTTCCTACGATAAAGCTTTCTCTCTCTCTCTCTCTCCCTCTCTCTTTCCTTCTCTCTCTGTGTGCTCCCTAACGCCCCCTCACATGACCGCATGGGGCACATGTCCTGCGTGCCCGTTCGGTAATCCGGCCCTGGATGAGCATGCACAAACATACTCCCCAAATCTCTGTATTAGGTACACATACAGTAAGGGAAAAAAGTATTTGACCCCCTGCTGATTTTTTACGTTTGCCCACTGACAAAGAAATGATCAGTCTATAATTTTGATGGTAGGTTTATTTGAACAGTGAGAGACAGAATAACAACAAAAAAATCCAGAAAAACGCATGTCAAAAATGTTATAAATTGATTTGCATTTTAATGAGGGAAATAAGTATTTGACCCCCTCTCAATCAGAAAGATTTCTGGCTGCCAGGTGTCTTTTATACAAGTAACGAGCTGATATTAGGAGCACACTCTTCAAGGGAGTGCTCCTAATCTCAGCTTGTTACCTGTATAAAAGACACCTGTCCACAGAAGCAATCAATCAATCAGATTCCAAACTCTCCACCATGGCCAAGAACAAAGAGCTCTCCAAGGATGTCAGGGACAAGATTGTAGACCTACACAAGGCTGGAATGGGCTACAAGACCATTGGCAAGCAGCTTGGTGAGAAGGTGACAACAGTTGGTGCGATTATTCGCAAAAGGAAGAAACAAAAAATAACTGTCAATCTCCCTCGGCCTGGGGCTCCATGCAAGATCTCACCTCGTGGAGCTGCAATGATCATGAGAACGGTGAGGAATCAGCCCAGAACTACACGGGAGGATCTTGTCAATGATCTCAAGGCAGCTGGGACCATAGTCACCAAGAAAACAATTGGTAAAACACTACGCTGTGAAGGACTGAAATCCTGCAGCGCCCGCAAGGTCCCCCTGCTCAAAAAAGCACATATACATGCCCGTCTGAAGTTTGCCAATGAACATCTGAATGATTCAGAGGAGAACTGGGTGAAAGTGGTGGTCAGATGAGACCAAAATCAAGCTCTTTGGCATCAACTCAACTCGCCGTGTTTGGAGGAGGAGGAATGCTGCCTATGACCCCAAGAACACCATCCCTACCGTCAAATGTGGAGGTGGAAACATTATGCTTTGGGGGGTTTTTTCTGCTAAGGGGACAGGACAACTTCACCGCATCAAAGGGACGATGGACGGGGCTATGTACCGTCAAATCCTGGGTGAGAACCTCCTTCCCTCAGCCAGGGCATTGAAAATGGGTTGTGGATGGGTATTCCAGCATGACAATGACCCAAAACACACGGCCAAGGCAACAAAGGAGTGGCTCAAGAAGAAGCACATTAAGGTCCTGGAGTGGCGTGGCCAGTCTCCAGACCTTAATCTCATAGAAAATCTGTGGAGGGAGCTGAAGGTTCGAGTTGCCAAACGTCAGGCTCGAAACCTTAATGACTTGGAGAAGATCTGCAAAGAGGAGTGGGACAAAATCCCTCCTGAGATGTGTGCAATCCTGGTGGCCAACTACAAGAAACGTCTGACCTCTGTGATTGCCAACAAGGGTTTTGCCACCAAGTACTAAGTCATGTTTTGCAGAGGAGTCAAATACTTATTTCCCTCATTAAAATGCAAATCAATTTATAC